AACACCATCCGAACTCTATTATCAGCTTATCAAGTGGTATCCTATCTCCTGGTTCACCACCTGATACTATTAACCTCCTCAAGTTGATCAAGCCTACATACACTGTTGCACTATCAGCAAGATAATGTATATATAGAAAACCAGCATTTGAATGCAATAACATATATCAGTATAAATGTTCATTGATACACAACAATGATTAATCGATCACTGTCAGTCCTCGAGCACATACATCTGTAGGTAATCAAGCCTACGACTGCAACTCTAAGCTTCAGAATAAATCACTCCTTGACATAAGAATGCAAACAGTCACTCACCTCTCACTGCGTCTTGCACGCTACTGACAACCAAACACTATCAACTCCCTATAAGTAATCCACCAGAACTTCCCCTTCCACCTCTGGAAGTTCACTACCCTATTTCTTTAGGTTCTTCCGGGCTTCACTACCAGGATCCTCTGCAGCTCCTCCAGGCTGCTATCATGAAGTTTCCTTGAGTAACTACGGTGCTTCACCCTTCTGCTAGGTTCCTCCACAGCTCTCTTGGCTGCTACACCACCTCTACAGAAGCACGTGACACTCCTCTTCACTGCTTCTCCTCACAGCTCGAGGTCCTCTGCTTCACTACCTGGGAGTCCCATCAACTACCTCATCTAGGCTGGCTTCGAAGTTCTCAGCAACTTCTTCCCCAAAGACAAACCTGCAACCCATCGACACTCCAATAAAATGTTCCCCTTTAACACAAACAAAAAATATTCACACAATATGTTTGCCTCAAACCTCTATCTGTTCTCTACATACAGTGAGAGTGGACTCCCCCGCTTTGGGCGGGTCCATACTCCACCTCGCCTGGCGGCGGTCCTCACTCGCTGGGAGGGTCTTCCTCCTTCAAGAGCCAGGCTCCCTCAGTCGTCCGCCAGCGCTCAGAGGGGGCGGACGTCGCTCCGTGCTCCTCCCTCTTCACTCTCCTATTTCAGGCCTTCTGCCTTATTAAAACATGTCTAACTTATAAATAAACATCGCTACTGTCGCTGGGCACACGACCAACTACAATGCAATCACTATGAACTGGCGTATATCGTGCTTACCACAGATTAACTGATCGAGGGCGCTTTTCCTCTGACGGCGTCTGGTCAGGGTGCTCCACACAGCCCACAATAATGCTTCTGGGCGATTTAATATCTGCTCGTCGACCAGGACTTGAGACCACAACGTTCCCAGCTCGATTCCACAGCTGGTACGTCCGCACACTTCTCTTCTCTTCGAGATATACCACTAGGGGTTCCCTTCTGGCGGGAGCTCAAACGGAGCGCGGCTTCCCCCTGCGATGTCTGGCACTCAAGTGAGGTCAAGGTCCTCCGGAAGCGAGCCTCACGCCTCCAGCAAAATGTCCACATCTCCTAGCCAGTCATTTATCTATTTCCTTACTTACTGCCCATAATCTTAAATTGTTTTACATATCCAACCAGCCATTTTTCATATGGGTTATCACCCCAATATTTGCTAGACCTTCTAGTTAGGTCAGGCTTGCTGAATAACTCTCAAGGAGGGAGACTCGTTTCTCCTGTAGGCTGAGATCATAACATTACCCAGCAGGGAGGAAGAAGAGGAGCCAGGCTGACGTTTCTGACTCAAAGAGACAGGTGTGCCAGAATCAACGTACTGGGCGACAGGCTAAATTGTCTCAACCGGAGAAAAGGAACAGGAGTGAACAACATGAAGACTGCTGGGAGGATGATGGAAAACAGCATGGAGAGACAGGCAGCATGGAGGGTCAAAGAACAGGGGGGGAGGGCTGGGAAGAGGAAAGGTGGAAGACAGGAAAGAAGACACGGCAGATTGGGAGGGAAGGAGGGAAAGACCAGATGGAGAACCACGAAGACCACGTGGTTCAGAACGGAAGAGAGCAGGTGAGGTGGTGCAGGCGTATCCGGGGTCTAAGGCCTGGAAACAGTTGTGAGACCCAGAAAGGAGGGAAGGGCAAGGAGAGGTGAAATGCAGAACACGAGCATAAGATATGTTAGCGAAAGAGGAGTAATGGCGGACTTGGTGCCTTGCCTCAGGAAAAGACAAACGAGAGTGGGGCTTCAAATTGAGGATGGCTTCCTCAAATTTGTAGTGTATACACTTGAAGGAGAAGGTAGGGTAGACGTCACCACAATTAATGCATCGAGCTTGGGAAGAAGAGCACTCAGCCTTAGAGTGAAGCAGAGTCCCCACACATAAAGCAGACACCACACTTGTTGATTGGTTGATTGTGCATTTGAGGGCACCATGCCCAAATTTCCGGCACTTACTGCAATGCCTAGGAGAGGGAATCTACTCCTGAACGGAGCATCTGGCACCAACAAGAATTATAGAAGACGGAAGGGTCCTGCCATCAAAAGTGATTTTCACAACTCGAAGCGGCTGACGACGACGACTACGAGGGTGTCAGGCGAACGTATCAACCTGGAGGACAGAATAGCCTTGGGCGTCAACCCTACCACAGAGGAGGGAGGGGAGCGGAGGGAGGTAGTCAGGAGGGTCAAAGGAGTAGCTAGGTCCTGGCCCAATATAACGGGGGCTACAGAGCCCGGTCTTTCAACACAGTCCGACTTGGGGGGCTTAATCGCCCACCCCACGAGCCTGAGAGGTTATGAGAGGATCATTCAGCGGCATAAAAATGAGGTAATAATTTAATTCATGTATGAGCCCCCATACACAGCATGGAGCCACAATTAGAGGGTAGGACACCCAACAAGAGACAGGCTGGGTCCCCCTAGGGGTGCATCGTGAGTATACACCGCCACAATTGCCACCTTAAGAACTGTCAGCCCATCAAGATCGGGTTCAGGAACGAAAGGAGGATGACAATCAATGCATCCCCTTGCTTGTGACGTTGGGTTACCACAGTTCTATGGGTGATGGAGTGTGCCTTCCCAAACACTCGGGCGTCAAAACAGAAGGAGAGATTGCAGTCTCCATGGTGTAGTGGTAAGACACTCGCCTGGCGTTCCACGAGCGCTATGTCATGGGTTCGTATCCTGGCCGGGGAGGATTTACTGGGCGCAATTCCTTAACTGTAGCCTCTGTTTAACGCAACAGTAAAATGTGTTCTTGGATGAAAAAACGATTCTTCGCGGCAGGGGATCGTATTCCAGGGACCTGCCCGAAACGCTACGCGTACTAGTGGCTGTACAAGAATGTAACAACTCCTGTATATATCTCAAAAAAAAAAAAAAAAAAAAAAAAAAAAAAAGTTCGAAAGAATATTCAAGAATGACAAAAGGTCAACGGGAAAGAAAATGAGAAAAGAGATGGGGGAGGAAAATGAAACATAAGGAAGAAAAGATAGGGACCAGTAAAATTAGTGAAGATGGAAGCAGGATCATAAGGCTCTAAAAGGACAGAGGACCATCCCATGGAGCATCACACCCTGGCAGCCATCTACCAAGCCCCCCTCACGACGACAATGGGCTGGAAAGGGAGGTGGCTCATTGGATAGAGATATCGTAACTTTTCACTTGATATCTAAGAAGTTGAAGGCATGGGTGGACAAACTGCACGTTTTAGAAGTTTGCATAATTGCTTGAATCGCACTCTAGAAGTCAGTACAGATTGTATATATCCCCACTGGTAATGTTATTATTTGGAGAGCTTAAGCTCGGATAAAGCGTATAATTCAGCTGTGAAAATAGATAGATGGTTTGGTAACCGCCATCCCTGTTTGAGGTAGTATTGCTGGATCCATACAGCGTTAGTGACTGAGAGACACCATCTGTGTAAATTCAACCCATACTTCTGTTTAGATGGTACCTTTTTTTAACTATGTGCACCATATTACAATCATTGTCATCATAAACAATTAGATAGTACACCTTTGTACTCTATATTCCGAAAAAATGAAGATAAAAACTAACCTAAATATTCCTAGGCCTCGTATATAACACCTATGGACTATATTAGTCCTAAGGTGGTTAGTTCAGGTTAGTTTACTTTGTCTTTGCTGCATAAGAAACATCGTGTTCCGGTTTGTCCAAATTAAATAGTACTCATTTCTACTTTTTAATTGTGTTGTACTTTGGTCCTCATCCTCCTTATAAGTATTATGACAACAGGAGGATGGACTGTTAAAACACTGTGGTATTTGGGTAGCAATTTTTCATCGTCGAAACAAAGACTGAGGCTATGGCAGAGTTTGGTGCAGACTTTGGAATAGCATATTCCAGTTGTATTGATGTTTTAGGAGTTATATAAGGCCAAGGTAGAATAGTGGGGACAGTAAGTTGGGTTTCACAGTTTTGGAGTAAAGTGAGGTGTATATTGAGGTTATTTGTAACCCATGTAAGGAAGGGTTGTGTGATTGGTGATGAAGCAGGGGTTATGTACTCACCTAGTTGTGCTAGTTGAGCTCTGGTTCTTTGGTCCCGCCTCTCAATCGTCACTCTACCAGTGTACAGAGTCTTGAGCCTACTGGGATCAATCATTCCTACATTTGAAACTGTGAATGGAGTCTGCCTCCACCACATCACTGCCTAATGCATACCATCTGTTAACTACTCTTGACATGTGGGCTAACTGATGGGCTAATTTTTATCTGTATGGTTGTGTCCAGTGAGCAGTGGTACAGTGATAGTTGCCACACATTATGTCTCATCTGGTGGCTAAGCTTGTGAAGCCCTGAAGGCCGAGCATAAGAGTGGACTGCATTGCGCCCCAAATGTCGCATGATTGTTTTGTATAACCTCAAGGCTCTGGAGGTAAGCAGGCTCAGCCGATGCATAGGCCTGACAGCAATACTCTAGTTGGCTGCGAATGTAGATTACAGAAGCGGAACAAAATTACATGGTGTGCTCCTGAGAACAGGAGTCATGGAGGTTCCCAAATGCAGGAGCCTTGGAGAATCCCAAGTGAAGGAACCTTGGACGTTCCTGAAAGCAGGTGCTGTGGAAGTTCCTGTAAGCAGGTGCTGTAGAAGTTCCTGTAAGCAGGTGCTGTGGAAGTTCCTGTAAGCAGGTGCTATAGAAGTTCCTGTAAGCAGGTGCTGTGGAAGTTCCTGTAAGCAGGTGCTATAGAAGTTCCTGTAAGCAGGTGCTGTAGAAGTTCCTGTAAGCAGGTGCTGTGGAAGTTCCTGTAAGCAGGTGCTTTGGAAGTTTCTGTAAGCAGGTGCTGTAGAAGTTCCTGTAAGCAGGTGCTGTAGAAGTTCCTGTAAGCAGGTGCTGTAGAAGTTCCTGTAAGCAGGTGCTGTAGAAGTTCCTGTAAGCAGGTGCTGTGGAAGTTCCTGTAAGCAGGTGCTGTAGAAGTTCCTGTAAGCAGGTGCTGTGGAAGTTCCTGTAAGCAGGTGCTGTAGAAGTTCCTGTAAGCAGGTGCTGTGGATGTTCCTGTAAGCAGGTGCTGTAGAAGTTCCTGTAAGCAGGTGCTGTGGATGTTCCTGTAAGCAGGTGCTGTAGAAGTTCCTGTAAGCAGGTGCTGTGGAAGTTCCTGTAAGCAGGTGCTGTGGAAGTTCCTGTAAGCAGGTGCTGTGGAAGTTCCTGTAAGCAGGTGCTGTGGAAGTTCCTGTAAGCAGGTGCTGTGGAAGTTCCTGTAAGCAGGTGCTGTGGAAGTTCCTGTAAGCAGGTGCTGTGGAAGTTCCTGTAAGCAGGTGCTGTGGAAGTTCCTGTAAGCAGGTGCTGTGGAAGTTCCTGTAAGCAGGTGCTGTAGAAGTTCCTGTAAGCAGGTGCTGTAGAAGTTCCTGTAAGCAGGTGCTGTGGAAGTTCCTGTAAGCAGGTGCTTTGGAAGTTTCTGTAAGCAGGTGCTGTAGAAGTTCCTGTAAGCAGGTGCTGTGGAAGTTCCTGTAAGCAGGTGCTGTAGAAGTTCCTGTAAGCAGGTGCTATAGAAGTTCCTGTAAGCAGGTGCTGTAGAAGTTCCTGTAAGCAGGTGCTGTGGATGTTCCTGTAAGCAGGTGCTGTAGAAGTTCCTGTAAGCAGGTGCTGTGGAAGTTCCTGTAAGCAGGTGCTGTGGAAGTTCCTGTAAGCAGGTGCTGTGGAAGTTCCTGTAAGCAGGTGCTGTGGAAGTTCCTGTAAGCAGGTGCTGTGGAAGTTCCTGTAAGCAGGTGCTGTGGAAGTTCCTGTAAGCAGGTGCTGTGGAAGTTCCTGTAAGCAGGTGCTGTGGAAGTTCCTGTAAGCAGGTGCTGTGGAAGTATTTTAATTGTGTGTCACGAGATGAACTATAGCTGTGCTGTATGTATGTTAATCGTACTTATTACGTTATAATAAGCAAGATCAGATGCGAGGTCAAGTCAGCTGACAAAACACCTTTATTATGTTCCGAATAACTTTTTTTTCAAGAAAAGACGCTATTCCAGATAATTTTGTACAAAATACAAAATCACACAAGAATTGTGCATTTCTAAAGGCACAGTATAATTATTGCATGCAATAAACACAACCATATGAAATTTTAATAAAATGATTTAGAAGGAACAAATGGAGAGGTAAATTGGAAAGTGCATATTCGTTATTCTTTAATGTATCAATTTATGGTTCTCTTGTTTACATGAAAATACAATAACATGAAAGTGTATAGAAACTACAATGTACATACAAGAGTTTGTCTCATGTAAGTACAAGGCTGGTACTGGTGTGATTTTATGACAACCACAAGAAAAAATATTTATTTATATTTATTACCTTTACAAAGTAATATATCATATTTATGAAAAAACACATTAGGAATGAAAGTAATTTTCACCAGTAATAGAGAAATATTTTGACTAACATTGCCCTCTTAAATGCAAAACTGCTACCAGGCATTTAAGAAGACGATGAGAAGAGGAGACTTTGAGCAATAATGTGATGTAAGTTACTGCTGGCACACTTGTGTTCTCATTACAAGAGTGAGTGAAAATAACACCAACCACACTGTTTACGTATCAAAGTATTAAACCATTATTAACCTGAAAATTATACATATTCCAACTGAGTTTTGGATGCAAATAATTCAAACTAAGCTCATCAACAGAGATTTTGTTGCATACTACTCCTATAAAAATTAATTCTTTACAGCCAATGCTTCAAACTAAATTACTTTCTCCTGAACAATTTTCAGCTTTACTGAGTATTATATATGAAATTAATAAAACTTTTCCTGAAAAGGTTAAACTGATCACCATTATAATAACATGTAGGGCTGCATTTGTTTACAATAAGAAGTCAAACATCTTAATATTTGCGGTCAGTGAGATACCGAAAGGCTGTTTTTCTTGGCTTTCGTCCTTTCCTGGTCATCATGTATTTATGAATACTTACTGCTTTACAAAATATTTCCATGAAGAAAATAATGATCCTTTTCAATTTTAGAAAGTAATATTTTCCTGACAAACTAGTTGGAATGTTGCAACACTACTTTGAGTGCAACAATGAGACACTTGAATCCGTCTTTTACTCTGCTTCTACCTAAGATGTGCCTGTCCATTGTCTGTAACAAATCTTTTTCAGGGGAAGTTTTTCCCTCTTTCTCGTTAAAGTTGTTAGTCGTGTGGAGAGCGGTCCGCTCCTTCCTTACATCACTGGCCTGGTGTAGGATTTTTCGACGTGGTCTTACCTTGGGTTGCGAAGTTCATAAACAATAACATTTTCCGACAGTTTGTCCAAAGTTAAGCGAACACCGCATCTGAAAAGTCCCAACACATCAAGCTACAAGTCACTGTAAACAAACGATAATAAAAGTAATGTAAACATACATTTGTCATGTGTCAATGGTATATCATATTATTTAGAAATAAATCACATGTTGTGTTAAAGCAACTCTCCTACATGAAGGACATACCCACTTGTGGCACCTGGTAGCCTGGAATTTCGTAGTACCTGGAGACGAAATTCTCAACGTAGCACAAATATCAATATAGGAGTGAGTAAGTGTGTATGTGTGTAGTTAGTTAGTTAGTATGTGTGTGTGTGTGTGTGTGTGTGTGTGTGTGTGTGTGTGTGTAGTTAGTTAGTTAGTGTGTGTGTGTGTATGTGTGTGTGTGTGTGTGTGTAGTTAGTTAGTTAGTATGTGTGTGTGTGTGTGTGTGTGTGTGTGTGTGTGTGTGTGTGTGTGTGTGTGTGTGTGTGTGTGTGTGTGTGTGTGTGTGTGTGTGTGTAGTTAGTTAGTGTGTGTGTGTGTGTGTGTGTGTGTGTGTGTATGTGTGTGTAGTTAGTTAGTTAGTTAGTGTGTGTGTGTGTGTGTGTGTGTGTGTGTGTGTGTGTGTGTGTGTGTGTGTGTGTGTGTGTGTGTGTGTGTGTGTGTGTGTGTGTGTGTGTGTGTGTCTATGTGTGTGTGTGTGTGTGTGTGTGTGTGTGTGTGTGTGTGTGTGTGTGTGTATGTGTGTATGTATGTATGTATGTGTGTATGTATGTGTGTATGTGTGTATGTGTGTGTGTGTGTGTGTGTGTGTGTGTGTGTGTGTGTGTGTGTATGTGTGTGTGTGTGTGTGTATGTGTGTGTGTGTGTGTGTGTGTGTGTGTGTGTGTGTGTGTGTGTGTGTGTGTGTGTGTGTGTACTCACCTAGCTGTGCTTGCGGGGGTTGAGCTCTGGCTCTTTGGTCCCGCCTCTCAACCGTCAATCAACAGGTGTACAGGTTCCTGAGCCTATTGGGCTCTATCATATCTACACTGAAAACTGTGTATGGAGTCAGCCTCCACCACATTGCTTCCTAATGCATTCCATTTGTCAACCACTCTGACACTAAAAAAGTTCTTTCTAATATCTCTGTGGCTCATTTGGGCACTCAGTTTCCACCTGTGTCCCCTAGTGCGTGTGTCCCTTGTGTTAAATAGCCTGTCTTTATCAACCCTGTCGATTCCCTTGAGAATCTTGAATGTGGTGATCATGTCCCCCCTAACTCTTCTGTCTTCCAACGAAGTGAGGTTCAATTCCCGTAGTCTCTCCTCGTAGCTCATACCTCTCAGCTCGGGTACTAGTCTGGTGGCAAACCTTTGAACCTTTTCCAGTTTAGTCTTATGCTTGACTAGATATGGACTCCATGCTGGAGCCGCATACTCCAGGATTGGTCTGACATATGTGGTATATAATGTTCTGAAAGATTCCTTACACAAGTTTCTAAAGGCCGTTCTTATGTTAGCCAACCTGGCATATGCTGCTGATGTTATCCTCTTGATATGAGCTTCAGGGGACAGGTCTGGCGTGATATCAACCCCCAGGTCTTTCTCTCTCTCTCTGACTCTTGAAGTATTTCATCTCCCAAGTGATACCTTGTATCTGGTCTCCTGCTTCCTACCAATATCTTCATTACATTACATTTGCTTGGGTTAAACTCTAACAACCATTTGTTCGACCATTCCTGCAGCTTGTCCAGGTCTTCTTGAAGCCTCAAGCTGTCCTACTCTGTCTTAATCCTTCTCATAATTTTGGCGTCGTCAGCAAACATTGAGAGGGATGAGTCTATACCCTCTGGGAGATCATTTATGTATATCAGAAACAGGATAGGTCCAAGTACAGAGCCCTGTGGGACTCCACTGGTGACTTCACGCCATTCTGAGGTCTCACCCCTCGCTATAACTCTCTGCTTCCTATTGCTTAGGTACTCCCTTATCCACTGGAGCGACCTACCAGTTACTCCTGCCTGTTTCTCCAGCTTATGCATTAACCTTTTATGGGGTACTGTGTCAAAGGCTTTCCGACAGTCCAAAAAAATGCAGTCCGCCCACCCTTCTCTTTCTTGCTTATTCTTTGTCACCTGATCATAGAATTCTATCAAGCCTGTAAGGCAAGATTTACCCTCCCTGAACCCATGTTGATGGGTTGTCACGAAGTCTCTTCTCTCCAGATGTGTTACTAGGTTTTTTCTCACAATCTTCTCCATCACCTTGCATGGTATACAAGTTAAGGACACTGGCCTGTAGTTCAGTGCCTCTTGTCTGTCACCCTTTTTCAATATTGGTACTACATTAGCAGTCTTCCATACTTCTGGTAGGTCTCCCGTTTCCAGTGACCTACTATACACTATGGAGAGTGGCAAGCAAAGTGCTCCTGCACACTCTTTCAATACCCATGGTGATATTCCATCCGGCCCAACAGCTTTTCTCACATCCAGCTCCAATAGGTGCTTCTTGACCTCATCTCTTGTAATTTCGAACCTTTCCAAGGTCACCTGGTTTGCTGCCACCTCTCCTAGCACCGTGACTTCTCCCTGTTCTATTGTAAAGACCTCCTGGAACCTTTTGTTGAGTTCTTCACACACCTCTTTGTCATTCTCTGTGTACCTGTCCTCGCCCACCCTAAGTTTCATCACCTGTTCCATCACTGTTGTCTTCCTCCTGATGTGACTGTGTAGTAGCTTTGGTTCGGTCTTGGCTTTATTAGCTATATCATTTTCATACCTTTTCTCAGCTGCTCTTCTCACACTAAAATACTCGTTCCTGGTTCTATTTAACCATTTGCTTGGGTTAAACTCTAACAACCATTTGTTTGACCATTGTGTGTGTGTGTGTGTGTGTGTGTGTGTGTGTGTGTGTGTGTGTGTGTGTGTGTGTGTGTGTGTGTGTGTGTTCACCTAGTTGTATTCGCCTAGTTGTGTTTGCAGGGGTTGAGCTTTGCTCTTTCGGCCCGCCTCTCAACTGTCAATCACCTGTTTACTAACTACTTTTTTTTCACACTACACACACACACACACACCCCAGGAAGCAGCCCGTGCCATCTGACTAACTCCCAGGTACCTATTTGCTGCTAGGTAACAGGGGTATTCAGGGTAAAAGGAACTTTCCCATTTGTTTCTGCCTCGTGCAGGAATCGAACCCGTGCCACAGAATTAAGAGTCCTGTGTGCTATGCACCAGGCTACGAGGCCCCTGTGTGTGTGTGTGTGTGTGTGTGTGTGTGTGTGTGTGTGTGTGTGTGTGTGTGTGTGTGTGTGTGTACTCACCTAGTTGTGCTTGCAGGGGTTGAGCTTTAGCTCTTTGGTCCCGCCTCTCAACCATCAATTAACAGGTGTACAGGTTCCTGAGCCTATTGGGCTCTATCATATCTACACTTGAAACTGTGTATGGAGTCAGCCTCCACCACATCACTTCCTAATGCATTCCATTTGTCAACCACTCTGACACTAAAAAAGTTCTTTCCAATATCTCTGTGGCTCATTTGGGCACTCAGTTACCACCTTTGTCCCCTAGTGCATGTGCCCCTTGTGTTAAATAGACTGTTTTTATCTACCCTATCAATTCCCTTGAGAATCTTGAATGTGGTGATCATGTCCCCCCTAACTCTTCTGTCTTCCAGCGAAGTGAGGTTTAATTCCCGTAGTCTCTCCTCGTAGCTCATACCTCTCAGCTCGGGTACTAGTCGGGTGGCAAACCTTTGAACCTTTTCCAGTTTAGTCTTATCCTTGACTAGATATGGACTCCATGCTGGGGCTGTATACTCCAGGATTGGCCTAACATATGTGGTATACAAAGTTCTGACACAAGTTTCTGAATGCCATTCTTATGTTGGCCAGCCTGGCATATGTTGCTGATGTTATCCTCTTGATATGTGCTGCAGGAGACAGGTCTGGCGTGATATCAACCCCCAAGTCATTTTCTTTCTCTGACTCTTGAAGTATTTCATCTCCCAGATGGTACCTTGTATCTGGCCTCCTGCTCCCTACACCTATCTTCATTACATTACATTTGCTTGGGTTAAACTCTAACAACCATTTGTTTGACCATTCCTTCAGCTTGTCTAGGTCTTCTTGAAGCCTCAAGCAGTCCTCCTCTGTCTTAATCCTTCTCATACTTTTGGCATCGTCCGCAAACATTGAGAGAAATGAACCTATACCCTCCGGGAGATCATTTACATATATCAGAAACAAGACAGGACCGAGTACAGAGCCCTGTGGGACTCCACTGGTGACTTCATGCCAATCTGAGGTCTCACCCCTCACCGTAACTCTCTGCTTCCTATTGCTCAGGTACTCTCTTATCCACTGGAGCACCTTACCAGCTACACCTGCCTGTCTCTCCAGCTTATGTACCAGCCTCTTATGCGGTACTGTGTCAAAGGCTTTTCGACAATCCAAGAAAATGCAGTCCGTCCAGCCTTCTCTTTCTTGCTTAATCTTTGTCACCTGGTCGTAGAATTCTATTAAGCCAAGTAGGTCTCCCGTCTCCAGTGACTAACTATACACTATGGAGAGTGGCAAGCAAAGTGCCTCTGCACACTCTTTCAGTACCCATGGTGTGTGTTCAGTGTGTGCGTGCGTGCGTGCGTGCGTGCGTGCGTGTGTGTGTGTGTGTGTGTGTGTGTACTCACCTATTTGTGCTTGCAGGATCGATCATTGACTCTTGGATCCCGCCTTTCCAACTATCGGTTGTTTACAGCAATGACTCCTGTCCCATTTCCCTATCATACCTAATTTTAAAAGTATGAATAGAGTTTGCTTCCACAACCTGTTCTCCAAGTGCATTCCATTTTTCCACTACTCTCACGCTAAAAGAAAACTTCCTAACATCTCTGTGACTCATCTGAGTTTCCAGTTTCCACCCATGTCCCCTCGTTCTGTTATTATTACGTGCGAACATTTCATCTATTTCCACTTTGTCAATTCCCCTGAGTATTTTATATGTCCCTATCATATCTCCTCTCTCCCTTCTTTTCTTTAGTGTCGTAAGGTTCAGTTCCTTCAGACGCTCTTCATATCCCATCCCTCGTAACTCTGGGACAAGCCTCGTCGCAAACCTCTGAACCTTCTCCAGTTTCCTTATGTGTTTCTTCAGCTGGGGGCTCCATGATGGCGCGGCATACTCTAAGACGGGTCTCACGTAGGCAGTGTAAAGCGCCCTAAAAGCCTCCTCATTTAGGTTTCTGAATGAAGTTCTAATTTTCGCCAG